AGGCTGAATAGGCCCAGCTCCCTCATTATTTCCTTGTAAGAGAGATGTTCCAGCCCCTTTGTTGTCCTCTGCTGGATTCATGCCAGGAGGTTCATGTAAGACCTGGCATTTAACCAGACCAAACTGATGTACAAAGTTATATACTGCACAGAGGCATGGCACTCAATTTATTGGTGTAAAAATATCATCCAGTTCAAAATGAAAGGGCACAGACAGGATAAATTATGGATTTTAGATGCTGTCTATTGACTAAGAATCACTGTTGGAGCAGGATTTTATGTTCATTGGACCTTGCAGTTAGAACCAAAGGGGCAGGTGCTGGAGCAATGGACCCAACAGCTGCCACTGCACTTTCTGGAGGTAAAGGTTTCCTTGTTTTCCCTGTATCCTCATTTCCCCGCTCATTAGAAGGAGGATTTCAGTCATTTTATGGCAGACCAGAGCCTTGTGCTTGATGAAAAGACAAATCAGAACATTCACTATCTAGTCATCCCTTAACACCCTACAAAGGTTTTTTTCAACAACCTGGAAAACAGAAGGCTGAATGAGTAGCTGTGTTTGGGCAGCATAAACACAGAGCTTCCCTGAAACAGCGGTGGTGACCCACCCCCAGGCTCCAACGCAGGTGTTCCACAGAGCTGAAGGACACGTGGGAGTGTTCAATGCTCCCCATGGGAGATGCTTGCCCGGCCTCCCCCCACACCTTCCTCCATGAAACCTGCAGCTATCCCTGAGCCTGTGCTTACCACAAAACTGTAGCTCCCCGCCACTGTCTCGCCTCCCTCACCACAGTGAACCCACAACCAACAGCTTCCTGGCCTCCCATCCAAGAGCCTCCTGGCAACATTTTACTCCATGCATATTCCAGACAAACCCCATATGCTTCACACAGCCATCAGCTCTCTTTGATGCATCCCATGGCATGTGATCCGTAAGACTCTTAACAGTAACACAGAGGTTTATGGTTCTGTATGAGTTGTTTCTGGATTAGTCACTAATGCACTGTACTCCTTCGCATCTCTGGTGGGAACTGCCTGAAGCATCTTGCAAACCCTAGTCCAGTTATCTCAAGGCAACATGGATGTTGCAAGTGCCAGGACAAACCCATACCTTCTTTCATGAAGAGCCCTGAGCCCTGGTCACTTGGACAGACACTGCTCTTATTTCTGGTGCAGGCATTGTCTAAACAGCCTGACCTGATAGATTTTGCCATAAAGGCTGTGACAATCAACCACTTCCTCTGCTTTTGTGGATATATTCCTAATCCTCAGCATGCTCAGACACCTATTTTTCCTTCAATCCTGGCCTTGCAATCCTGCTGTTAGGGGCTGGGCATGGGCAGAAAGCCATGAAAAGCCAAAGCTATGATCACATTTGCTTTTCAGCAATCTGCTACTCTTCAGAAGGAATAAGATATCCTCAGGTCCAAACAATAGGAGGCTGAACCAGGGAGAGACCGAGTTCCCATGAAAAAAGCTGCTCTTTTTCCTTGAGAACTTGGAGGTTTTAGAGGAGTTTGTGGCTCACAGAACATCAAGCACTGCAGTTGCATCATAGCAGGAGCTCCGAGGAGACTTAACCAAGGCAGAAGCATTGCCACAGAACAAAGATGACATAGCTTTATGGAAAGGGATGCTTTCTTTCTGTGAGATTTCTGATGTGTCTGAAGTTTCTCTGGAAAACAGCATGTTTTCTAACTGTAGGTAATGTTATTTGCTCAGTTTTCTAACTGTAGGTAATGTTATTTCCTCTGCACCCTGTTCTGAACAGAGATCCCCAACATGTGAGCACTGGGCTTCAGAGAGTATGTACGTAACAAATGAGCAAAAATTCAGACTCCAGAGAGTGCTTTATTCTTTGTGAATTGTTGGAGCTGTTCTTTGTAATGTACACATGTTTTAGCAATCTGGGACTCCCACAAATGGTGGGACTCTAAGAAAAAAAAGCTGGTCAATAAAAAGTGAATATACTGTTCAAGGTCTCTAATTACTCCTAACTCGGATAGAGCTGAAGCATGCCATTTTTTCCACAGTAATTAGTAGTGATCTCACCAAAGGTTTCATTCAAAGCATCCATTGCACTGAAAATTTCAACACATTTCCAATCCAAAATTAAATTATCCATTGCTACCCACACCAGAGTATGCTGCTTAGAGAAGTGACAGAGTGAAGAGACATCTTAAGTGTAAATTCCCAGAATTTTTTTTTAAATTAAAAACACCAGAGGTACTTTCCAGGCCCAGACCAAAGAGGAATTAGATGTTTAACTTTTCTGGGTTTGTATGACTAATCTTGCTGCCACTCAGCTGAAACTTTATGAATGCAAATATAAGTATATCATATATACTTATGAAATGAGAATGAAATATAACTATATCAGTGTCTGCACATGTTAAGCATACTTATGATTTGAATCAATTCACTAAATTGAGCACATGGAACTTACATTGTTTGTTCTGGAAACAAAAGTTTTTCCAGACTGAAGGATGTGAAAACTACTTCCCTATCTAATGCAATTCAGTACATCTGTGTGTGATTACATAAACACGTCTCAGACCACAGAGCACCACAGCCAAGTCTCATAGCAGTTACATTCATTAAACATCAGACCATGTGATCTTCCCTGGACCTTCAATATTTGCCTGTTTGTAAGATTTACTGAATATTCCCTATATTTTCTGTTTAGAGCAAGAGTGGCTGACTGAGAATTAATGACATTATCCTTGAATAAATAACAAGTCAATGTTTCAGGGCTGAGTGAGCATGCCTGAAGTCACTAACAGAAAACATAAGAACTGAAAAAACATTGCTGCTTTAACTACATCAGTTCACTGAAACTGGGCTCAAAAATAGTTTTATTTAAAATGTTTTTGATCATTTTACCTTCATATAATTCCATCTCATGTTCATTTTCCCATGAGCTCAGGATGCTATTTTCTGCTATTTTCCTTCAGGGGTCAGTAGCTGGAGTTGCTGCAGAGGACATCCTAACCAGAACGTTTTGACTAACCATAGGGATGCTAAGCAGTGGTGATTTCCAATTTGCAGATATACTAGCTCTTAGCAGCAAGCACTGTCCTGCTGAAGAAGACTCCTGCATGCATAGGGTTGTAGGTCTCACCCACAGAGATGTAAATCTTGTCAGATCACCATTTGCTTGAAGATTTGATTGCATTCAAGTTAATCTTGATTCTTATAGTGGTATCTGGGCAACTGGCTGAGGACAGGACAGATTTTGTACACATGTACAGGCAGTTTGTGTCCCAAAAAGATGAGTAAAATCTGGTTCATAATGAAGCTACAGCAGATATACTGCCACAAGACTGGAATAATCAATTCTACATTTTGAAGACCTGCTCTCTAATCAGTGACTCATGTATATCATCCCTTTCCTACCATCAGGAGAGGACACGTGCAGTTTGAGCACATTGTTTCAAGACTGCAGTTGTCCAGCCTGGATGTGGCCTGTGCATAGGTGAGAAAACTACTAAGACCTGTCACATAACTGGTGTGTGGATGCTAAACCATCTATCAGAGCTTGTAACAGAACATGCTTTTTGGTCACCTCCTGCAAACACTTGGAACCTTGCTTTGAACAGGTAGAAGATGAAATCCAGCACTTTCCAAAGTTAATAGCCTGCGGAGTACTTAACAAAACTTTCCAGCATGTTGGTCTAGTCTCAGAGCAAAATTACAGCGCTGAGTACAAAAACAAGGTTTGTGTGGTGACAACTTCCTAAAGAGAAAGCATCTCACCAGCCATGACACCAAGAGATCTGCTCTCACTGATGCCAAAACCTTTGTTAATAACCATACCTGTGGTGCAGCAGATATTGACAGTAGCAGACGGTGTTGGTGCCACAAAAGCAAACATCAGACTTGAGAATTGTCTCTACTGCTTTTTGGGTCCTTAAGAAATACGAGTGCTTTAAGTGGTCTTGGTGCTTCATACTAGGCTTTTGTGTTGCTGGAGGCACTGATGGCTCGCATAGCTGTAGGTAACCTCCCCAGAAATCTCACTACAGATTGTAGATAGAAATGCTTAGCCATTTCAGCTGCTGAACTCTAAGTGTTGTGCAACATTTGTCTTTTCACTTGATGCAAGTACATGCAAAAGTGGCCTCTAGACGCTCCTGCAATCCAATTAAATGCGACTATTTCACACTAAAAACTTATGGAGGGCAGGGGGTGGGGAAGAAAAAGCAATTTGAACCTGGTTTTGCATAATAAAATAGTTATTCTAATCTGGAAAACTATCTGTTGTGCAACCCAACCCAACATCTGTTGTGCATCCTCAAGGATGAGGGCTCGGTGAACCTGTAAATTGACTATTCCTGTGACTGGGGCTCCCAAACGCCTCTTGCCGACATCGGCTGGAGATTCGAAAGTTTCACAGGACGATAACCGTGGCTGTCCCAGAAACACCTGCATACCACGGCCGTGCAGTCGCGGTAGGCTCCGCGGCCGGCCGGGCTGTGCGATGGAGTGCGGCCGCAGGCGGGGCTCGCCGCGCTCCGCGGGCGGGCCGGGCCGGGCCGGGCGCACACCTGGGCCCGCCCGGCGGAGCCGCGCAGGCGGAGCGGGGGCGGAGGGAGCCCAGCTCGTCCCGTCCCGTCCCGTCCCGTCCCCTCCCTGTCCCCTCCCAGTCCCGCTCCGCTCCGCTCCGCTCCTACTCCTCCCCCTCCCTGTGTGCGCGCCGGCGGCGGCGGCGCCGCGCTCCCTCCAGCCGCGCCCGCGCAGCCCCCGCAGGTAAGCGCAGCGCGCCGGGCCTTGAGCGGGGCGGGGGGGTCCCACCATTCTCGCCCGCAAAAAGGTGCCTGCTTCCCATTCCCCGAGCGCTCCGTGCCCACGGCGCTCTTCGTCTCCTCTCTTTGGCTGTTTCTCTCGTGTTTCCGAACCTGGTCTGGTCCCACGGCGCGCAGTGCTGTGCCGGGCGGCGCGATCGTCGGGGTCCTCTCCGGCGAAGGGCTCCTTCGGGATGGGCTCGACTGGGTTCGAGGCGTCGGGTCAGGCTGCTATTCCTGCTGGACTAACGTCTCCGGGGCTGGCCTGGAATAAATGATGGGCACTTGTTTGATTAAGGAACGCTAACAGGACTTACTTAAGGTTTGACCTCGTATTTTTCTTTTTTCCTTTCCATCCACCCCCCCCCACTTTCGTCACCCCTTCCACCCCGAATTCACTTTGGATTTATTTATACCAAATTAAGGCAGTGGAAAAAGTCCTAGATAAAAAATGGTTGCCACCTCTCTCTCCTGACTTTCTCAGTCCTTCGGACGAAGAGCCTGCTCGAGTCCGATGGGAGCAGTGTCAGTGTATCCATGATGTTTACAAAGGTAAAGGACAGGGAGAAGGTGAATGACAAGCACAAGGGTGTGATTTATTAGAGAAAGACCGGGAGCGGGGGGGAGCAGAAAGGGAGCTAGAGGACAAAAGCCGTTAGCAAACTGAAATGAGAAGACTGAGGTGGAACCAAAGGGACCAAGTTTCTTCCTCTCACTTCTTTTCCTATGTTCTTTTAAAATAGCTCCACAGTGGGAACGATACCAAAATACTGCTTCCTATGGAAATATGTGCAAAGTTTTCATTATCACAATAATGTGTTGGAATGTCTACATTTAATTTTCTTGGGGATATCTCTGTGAAACAAGCTCACACCTTCACAGATTTCAGTTGTCTTTGAATGTTAGAAGCTGCCTAAATCCCCTCTTCTTTTTTTTTCTTTTTTTTTTTCCAATCCTCATTTGCTCCAGGTTTGGGTTAGTTTTCTGTGTGTCGTTTTCTTAATTGTTTTTGTTTGGTTGGGGTTTTTTGAAGTTTAAAGGCAAAATAACTTGGGGGAGACCCTGTCAGCAACTTGTGTTCTCAAAGCGTGGGGGAATTGGGGTAGCTGCAATTTTTTGCTGCTAAGAAATGCTGCAACTCTTATCTTTTCAAATAAAATTTTTGCATGCTAGTTCAGGTTTGCTGTGTTGTACCATTTGGTCTAAAATGAATCACTTTCAGGTCTGGGAGTCATGTTTCAATTTGGCGGCCAGGGCTGTGTGCCGTGCAGCCTGTTACTCTTGTGTGAGGATGGGATACACTGCAGTATAAAATAATATTTCTGGCAATTTCAGCAGCGGGCTGAAGCAATACTGTGTGCACAGGCGTAAGTGAGACTCTGCCCTGCAGCTTGCTATTACTGGCTATAGGCGTGCCGCATGTTTTCCCTTAACTGATATGGGCTCGGACTTACAAAGCAACTTGATAGGCCTGTGTTTTACTGTTGTTTTTATTAAATATTAACCACACAAAATTAAATGCTATTTTGCTCCAGAATAGATTGATGCTGTCTCATCCTGTGCAGTTGTTCATGAATGGTGGTTGTTTTCCTTTTTGTACATCAAATAACCAAGGAATTGTTACTTAGGAATACTGAGAAACACTGCTGCATGATCAGTGTGCTGCTGTCTTTATCACTCCCTATTACAGATTGTAGTAGTTAGACCCTTGGCTGCTATAAACCTTGTTCTGAGAACTTAGCAGTAGTGGTGCTGGTTGAAGAGAGGAAAACATTGGCTGGGTCTGCTTTCTCTTCCTTTGCTCTTCAAAACAAATATTGAGGGTCAAAAGCTTAAACAGCTTTTGAGATGAAACACATGGAAAATGCAAAATTAAAGTAATGCTACACTGCGTACCCAGCTTTAATATGTGAACTCCACGTGTAACAGACAATCTTATCATTGTGAGCAAAAATACTTTATGGTCTTGTGGTTTTCATCAGTAGCTCTGGAAGATTGTAACTAAAATATAATTCCTTCCCTGCTTAAAAATGGGGAAAAATTTGTCTTTAACTGGGTTTTATAGTGTCACACAGTTAAACTATTTGGGGAATCCAGGAGAGGTTGTTGAAGAAAGTGTTTTGCTCTGCTTTGTACTTACATGGGATTCACTTTGATATCACTGTGATGAGCCCTTAATAACACGTTCATAGATAGTTAGCTGTTTCTCAGTGGCCTATCCATATTGAGCTTACTTTGTCTCATATTCAGAGGTTCAAATCAAAAGGCAAGTAATTCTTCTGAGCACTTTATTCCTTTAGAACACCACCACTGTCTTCTCTTTGAATAACCAACAGTTTGAGCACTCTGAGAGGTGAGCTGCCTTCTCCAGATGTCAGAAGAGCTGGCTTTGAGCACCTCTAGGTGGTGACCTGCCAGCACTTACTGAGCACTGTTGCTGTGTATCTGGCTTTTTTTATCATATGGATGCAGAGGTAATTGAATGCAGCTCTTTTGCCATCAGGGCTGAGTGGGGAACTCTTCACAGGCCGTCACTTATGGTCTTGGTAATGCTCAAGGATATGAGGAAGAATTTGGGAGTGGTAACTGGTACTGTGTGGCAGTTGTCCTTTCACTGTTGTTTCCTTCACAAAATTAGAATTTGCTACGTAAGTGCAATTTCCTCCCTTTCAGAACCAAAAGTGCATGTAATTTAAGGGACACTTAAATTCAGCTTAAATCATCTAAATGGGGTATTTGAAGAGCTCCTGCTACACATAATGCCAGGGGAAAAATACATACAACTCTTTCACTGAAAGAAGAATAGAGCAATCAATATGTGATCCCTCCAGCATCTTCAGTTACTGGATTAGTTCTTTATATGTTGGGCATTTCACTGCTTCATCTTTCACAATGGGCTGTATTATTTTTTCTATCAGTTTAGTAGGGTGAAAAGAAAACCAACTTTTGAGAAAATAAAGTATGTCTTTTCTTTTTCCATCTTCCCATCTCCTTTTCCTTAAGATTGATTTCAATTTAGGTAAGGTCCTCATTTGTTGCCTTAGGAGTTTTGATAATTTGAAGGGAGAACGCTGCTCTCCAGAAGTGCTTGATTGTGAGGGACTTGAGGCAGTAATGGCTTCAGCTGGCAGGGGTTTTCTAGCATCTGATGTGTTTTTGACTTTTTCAGGTGTCACGAGGTGATACTGCAGAGATGTGGCACTCCTCAGCAGTGCTGCATTAGGGCTGAACTTACACACTTCTTGTTTTCCCCCCATGTGTTTTTCTTCATAGCCAGAGCAGAGGCTTAAGGCTTCAACCATGGTCCATAAATGTCAATGGAAAAATCTGTTTTGGCACTGAATGACTTTGGATCAGGTGCAAGGCTGATGGGTTGCTTTGACAGAAATACAAAATTATTCCCTGGGGAGAAGAAAGTTCTGTCAAGGAAATGGGAGCTGCTGTTCTACTTACATGTCAGGGAACCTGAATTTTGGTTTTCTTCATTTACATTTCAAGCTTAGTTTCTTTAAAACATGTGGAAGCATTGCCTGTGCATTCTTGCACTTCTGTTGATGTACTGGTATATATGACAGTGAACATCTGAATGTCTGGTACCTTGGTTTGGTTTTTGTTGAAAGTAGGGGAGAATTCTGAGAAGGGCCTATCTTCATGTGCCCAGACCTCTCCTCCTCTCCTCCACTGGTGTTTCTTGACTGCCTGACACACTTTCCACACTCCCAAGCTGATTAACAGCACACCTGGCTTGCAAAATCTTGGTTATTGTTTGAGTGAAGGTTGCACTCTAGGATCAATTTTCATTTTTTAATGACTGGTGTCTCTAACTGTTGAAATACTGTTTCTGTTTGTGCATCATTGAGCACCAGAAAAGAGCCTATGTGCTGGGTTGTGTAGTATCTGTGTGTCCCCATCTTGCATGGCAACTCCATGACCATGGCATTTCTCTTATAAGCTCTTGACAAACAACTTTGAGGTTGTTAAGGCATTGTATTTCTCTACAGAATAACAATAGCCTAGCTTGGATTAGTGCAAAGTGTCCAGAATTTCCTGATAGGCACAGCCTGGAATAGTTTGTGGACCATGTTTTTTTCAGTCCTGTCCTGATTTCCTACTGGATCTGGGTCCTTCTTGACCCGGATACTGTAGGCAGTTAGGTTACTGAATATAAAGGGGAGAGCATTGGTGCCTTTACCCCCGAAGTAAAGATGTATTTCTTCTTAAAAAGAAAGTGAATCTTCTCCCTTTGTTTCTGGCAAGCAAAAACAGCCACAGACTTGTGGGGCTGCTGTGGTTCAAGGAGTCTGGGTAAGGCATGCCTGCCCCTGCCAGCAGCACAGCCGGAGAGAGGGAGCCACATCCCTCCTCCTCCAGCCACTCCCAGGATAAATAGCCTGGACAGGGTTCTGGCCGGGGGTGTGTGCAGAGTGTTTTGCTTTCCAAGTGCCTTGAAGATTTGTGCTGGTGGACTTTGTGATGGATGGTGGCTTGGCTGCTGGGGAAACAGGAGCAAAGCATTGTGCCTTACTGTTTCCCACTCATAGATTGCAATGTGGTCTGCTGCTGAAATGATGGTAGGCAGTGTGGATCAGTGGCACAAAAAATGCCTTCAGTTGCAAAAGTGGGGAAGCTGGATCTTTTTTAGAAGGAAACATATTTTGGGACTACTGTATTGCAGAAAACTATATGTAAACTGCTTTTTTTTTTGTTTTTTTTTTTTTTTTTTTTTTTTTTTTTTTTTGCTTCCATGTCATATACTCTAGACAAAATTCAGAGGTTCTCTCATTTTCTTTTTAAAAATACAAAGGTGATAAATATGAGCGACCAATATTATCTTTCTAGTTTTGCTTCTGACTCTGACTAAGAGGCAAACACCTTCTGAAGTGGATTTTTGAAACTGCTGGAAAAAATGTCTATGACTTTGATAGTCATGTATGATAATTCTCAGTTCAGTGTAGGCCTCATGTTGCCATATTACAGACCATTCTGGCTTTTCTGTAGGAATTTGCATGCCACAGTGACCTTTGGAGTAGGATGGATTTCACAGGCACTTAATGTAGTACATCTATTTCTTTGCCAGCTAGAAAATGTATTGCATATTGCAGTGCTTGCAGGAGCAAGCCTGAAAGCATTGGATTGACATCAAAGGCAAGATCTTTCTGTACAGAATGCTGGAGATTGTAAGAGTGGTAAAAATCTGGCAAAGGAAATGCATACTGTTTTTCATTGCAAGCCCCTTTCCCTCCCTCTTCCCCATCTTTTTAGGGTGGGCGTGGCTGATATGAAATGGTGCTGGTTCATTATTTATGGGAGCAGAAGTTTTCC